GGGTTAATGCTTAATGCATTTCCTTATTTCAAAAACATTTAATTCACCATTTAGTCACTTTAGAGACCTAGAACTGGGAAGAAAAAAAAAAAAAACCTTCCTGGTTGCATGACCTGCTTCACTACACCTGATTACTGTTGGGTTTGAATGGGATGGGGGGGGGGGGGGGGTGGACTAAGGGAAAAAAAACAAAACAAAAAAACAAGACAATTTAAAAATGACATGCACCAATCATATCACTGCGTAGAAGATATGAGCACGAGCATCACAGTGAAATTTTCTGCGCGCTGATATAACCGGTGTGTGGAGTTTGGGAAAAAGTACAATTGTTCACTACAAAATTTGGATTATCTTCAAAAACTGCGTCATGATTCCTGGTAGGAGATGTTGCTGTTGAATTTCAAATGTATTTTTCTGGCACTTTAATCACCACGGAAAGAATGTAATTCACTCCCATTATATTCCGGAGAAGCCCGACATTTCTACGGCCAATATCTCCCAAACTAGGCAACTCCTAACAGAACAACCTAGATGGATAGAAAGCACTGAAGCCCCTCTAAAAGTTCTCCGTCACGTGAGAACAAACAGCTCAACTCAGACCATCAACAATGACACGGGAAGCTCTTAGTCTATACGCTCCTGCTGGTTTATTTACAGTATGCCACACGTGAAGCCATAAAACACTGCTATCTGGCCTCATTAGCCTGAATCAAGAGGGAGGTGGAGGGGGGGGGATTGGAGAGTAGAGGTACTTGGAATTTGCCACCCAAATAAGGAGAACGTTCCATAGACGGCCTGCTTGGCAGCTTTAATAAGCTTCCACACCGCCTGCCTACTTACTGTAAATATTCGAATGCCTCGCCACTCCCGGGAGCAATGTTAGATGAAGGTTAGAAATGTTAGGGTCACACCTACGGTGGGTATGACCTCAGCGAGGACCAATGGAATCTTATGCGGGATCGAGAGACTTGGGTACATGAAGGGGGGAAATTAACACCCCTAAAACATCCCTGACAAATCCCCAAAACAGATTCAGCTTTGCGGTTTATCAAATTCATCACCCCACTGACACAGGATGTCCAAGAAATGGGCGACTCCGCTCACCTTCACACAGGACCAGAACTGCCGCTGAAAAAAGAGGTAGGGGCCCGAATTCTTGTTCTCCAATATGCTGCCAAGCCCAAACAGACATGGGTTAATCAGAACCTAGCAGAGATGTTGGTATGTAGAACTTAAGCAACATCAAGCTCATGCAGGAACCAAAACTTACTTCTTAGGGAAGAGCGGCATGAATATGTCGTTGTCTAGCGTCCTCCTTGTCCGGAGGACAATGGTCTTCAGCAGCTCCTAATGTGAGGAGAATCAGGAGAACCTCAGTTTGACCAGACAAGTTGACCGGGGGGGAAACAAGGCTCCACATATGGTGCTTTTCCAGTGACATACAGGAACTGTACCCGAGCCGTACCGCCACGAGAGACTATGTAGATACACTGTGGTTCGGCTCGCTTTGGTTTTCCACTGCAGAAGGGTTAGGTCAGTAAAGGCTTTGCTGGGTTTGGAGAGCGACAGTGATGTAAAACTGAGGAGATGCTTATTTACTGATCACACCGTGTACATCTTCATAATTTATTATACGCATTTTTTTTTTTTACTGTGCATTAATTTTCACCAAGTCTGAGAATCGCTGTCTTATGTTAGTGTTTCACATTATCAGACTTCGCATTACGAATCCATTCCGTTCCATTCAGCTGTTCTATAGTTCTTTAAGTGGATAGGAATTTTCAAGTTCTGAGTTGCATCACGATGTGCGATACTACTGATAATGAATAATATACAGAATATTCTCTCTTTCCTTCAGATAATCCATGCATATCAACGCAAAACACTGGTATCGTCATGCATTTTGGTGAATCAGAGGGTGGAGACGCAGCCAGC